TGAAAAAAATGAGACTATATATAATGTTCCATATCCACAGACACACCCTCTCCCAAACACGCACCTCTGCAGAGGAGTAGGGGCAGGCAGGAGACAGCTTTTCTTTGGGGCAGTGCTTGTAGCAGACAGTGTTTGAAACGGTTTTTGGTAAGGAGTACTTAAACGGGCAAAGGTTGCTGGAAGAAGGGACCCTATCCAGTAGGGGTTTCGTGATTAGATATTGAAATATTGTTTAAATATGTTTCCAACATAGTGGCTCCATGTTGGAGTACAGCTGGTAATGATAAACTCTTCTCCGCTTCATTAAGTTGGTTTATCACTAGCACCACTCTGCCTCTCTCTCAGGGACTTTGCTGCCAACAGCACCTAACCCTCACCTTTATATTTCCACAAAGTGTAATCACAAGGGCTTTTGGGGAAATTAGAAGCAGCTTCTCCAGCAGAAAAAGAAACTGGAGATCCTTTCCCTAGCCTGATTAGCCAGTAGATTTAAATTGAGGAAATTCAAAAATAGTCCTCTTTTTGTTCACTTTTTGGGGGGGGGGCAATAGGGGTTAAGTGACTTGCCCAGAGTCACAGAGCTGGTAAGTGTCTGAGGCCAGATTTGAACTGAGGTCCTCCTGACTTCGGAGCTGGTGGTGTTCTCAACTTTTACAGCTTTGATCAACAAGAATTATTCTAATATTATTCTAGATTTGAAGGTCAGGGACACGAATGGCCTATGTTTAGTACATCATCTCTTGTGGCTCGGTGACTTGAATTCCTAATGGCTCCGTGTTCTCTCCCTTAGTGAGAGCTAAGATAGTTTAAATCATTTTGGTTCCAGATTTGTAAGAGCCTGAATTTATAAATATCTAGACCCCAAACAAAGATGAAGGACTTAGTTGGGAAGAAGCATTTGAAAATTACGAAGCAGAAATCATGTATTTGTATCATTACATCTATTGCAGACATGATATATTTTCTTTTCTACCTCTTTCTTTCTAAGCCTTTTTTTTTCCTCCTTCCATTCTTCTAGTGTGGATGGTATCTTAGGTCCCATCAAGGAAACCACCATGAAGACAGTATGTGCAGACTTCAAGAAATGTAACCAAGTAAGACTTTATAATAGATAGCTTGTTCTTCAAAATGCAGGTGCCTAGAATTAAATGCTGTCCATGGGTCTTCTATCAGGGCTAGAAGGAACTACTGATCTGTTAGTCACAGTCAGTGAACCAGCATTTATTAAGCACTTACTGTATGCCAGGCACTACCCTAAGCCCTGGAGATACAAAGAGAGGCAGAAGACCATCCCTACCCTTGTGGAGCTCACACTTTAAGGGGGGGGGAACAACATGCAAACAATTATGTTTTCAAGTGCTGAAAGCTATTCACACTTGCAAAGACTCCTTACACTTCCCCCGGTCAAGTGGGTATAATTTAATGCATCTGAAGCCTTTCCCTTGTAGTAAGCCTTGGACAATTCTATATAGAGACTCACTAGTTATATCTGAAAGTTACTTTCCCAGGTCACTTGAGAGAATTTTCTCAAAATTTTGCTTGAGAGCGGTGGAAAGAATTCTGAATTTGGAGGCAGACGATGTGCCGCTTGTCCCGTGCGTGTCTTTGGCAAGTCACTTAATTTCTTTGGGCTTCCCAGATGATCTCTAAGATTGCTTCCACCTCTGAAGTTCTCAGAAGAACCGCTTCACTCAAACAGAAACAGACAGGGTGTCTGTTCCACGCGAGACCTAGAATGCCACCAGTGGGATGGAGCAGTCCTGCCCTTAAGGAGTTCACACTTGGCACACGGACACGTAATTATACAAGCTTGACTCTACAGCTTTACCTGTGGATTCCTATACTAGCGATGGAAAAAGGGACACGTGGAGTCCTGGCAACTGCTGCTCCTAGAGATGCATCTCCGCTGGAACTCCCCTCGGCCTCCCATGTCTCCAGCTGGCTTCTTTCTATCCTGAACCTCAGGCTGCCGGTGTCCTCTGCTGGGCTGTCTTCTCTCCTGCTGCGCTGCCACCTGCTCTTTTGCTGCGTCTTCATTTACTGGTACCTCCACTGAGCTGCTCACTGCATCTGGGGCCCTCTCCAGTCATTCTGATCTATATGTGGCCGCTGGACCCAGATGGCTCCGGAGGAGGAAGTGAGGTTGTTGACTTTGCACAGTGCTCCCTCACTTAAATCCAGTTCACTTGCAAGTTGTGGCATCACCTTCCTGATCGAGAACGAAGGACAAACTATAACAACAAACGACAACCACAACCTTCCTGGTATTCTTGTTGTTGGTGGTTCAACTGTTTGCAGTCGTGTCTGACTCTTTGTGACCCCATTTGGGGGTTTCTTGGCAAACCACTGGAGTGGTTTGTCATTTCCTTCACCAGCTCATTTTACAGAGGAGGAAACTGAGGCAAACAGGGTTAAGTGACTTGCCCAGGGTCACACAGATAGTAAATGTCTGAGGCCAGATTTGAACTCGGTTTTTCCTGACACCAGGCCTGGTACTCTATCCACTGTACTACCTAACTTCCTCATTCTACTGTTCTCCAGTGATGCCATCTTCTTGTCTTTCATGGCAATAAATCTCTATATGCTGTATTGTTGCCGCCCTTTAAATTGAAGCTATAATTCAGCTTTTTCCCCAAAAGGGAGAGCATCTGGGCTTTCTAAATCCATAGCCACAGGATCTAATTCAATTCTTTTTTCATTCAGCTCTACATCTGCATCCAGCAAGCCAACAGAAACCCCGAGGCTTAGTTTAAATCCGTCTTTTGAATTCCTTTGCTTTGGCCTGAGCTGCGACTCACCGAGTTCAGGCTGCTGCAGTATTTGATTTAGAGTGACTATGAAAAAGGTTTCAGCTCCAGAGTTAGGAGCCCCTTTGCCTAGGTCCATGCAAATCACTCTGGGTGCTTTGTTTATCGAGTTTTTTTTTTGAGGGGGTGGGGGTTGAGCATCTTTCCTCCTGCTTTCCTTCTGGCACAATCACTACTACTCTTACCAGAGATAGGAACAGAAGAGAATTTTCATTTGTGTCAGGAAGTAGGACACTGGAAGAATGACACAGAGAAGGAAGGAAGGAAGGAACACCAAATATTTAGATCTAAGTCACAGACGGTTAGCATTTCTTGAAGAAAGGAAAGCTAGCGGATGTTGAAACAACCTACTTCTGGTGATGTATGCTGGGAAAAATTCTATCACCCAAAAGAACGCAGGGGGAAAAAACATTGCTACAGGTTCTAAAATCTTAGGGGAAAGTTGAAGATATTGGAGGTACAAGTGGCTTCCTCATTGTGGATGAATGGAGGCAGGGCATTAAAAAGATAAATTGGATTTGGATTTCTAGACCATGGTTTAAAATATAAGCATGATTGGCTTTTGACTATGGATGAAGTGCACCTAATAAGGGCTGGTAAAAATGTATTTGCTAGGCGCCTTGAAAATCTACTTGAGGACTTCAAGCTGAAAAGTCAGAAGAAGAAAACTGCCAACCTGGCCAATGAATTTGACCTTGATTTCTGGCAAAAATTATAGAGAACATTATTAAGGGAATAGTAGTGAACACTCAAAAAAGGAAGAAATGATAACTAAAAAAAAATTTTTTTTTACATTTTTCAATTAGTTTATTTTGAATTATAAACAATCACTTCCATAAGCTTCTGAGCTTCAAATTTTTCTCCCCCTCCCTCCACACCTTCCTCCCCAAGATGGCACGAAATCTGATATAGGCTATACATATCCATTCCTATTAAACATATTTTCACATTAGTGATGGAGTAAGTAAGAATTAGAGCCAATAGGAGGAACCACCAGAAAGAGGAAACAAAACACAGCAGAAGAAAAAAAAATAGCAAATAGCATGCTTCCATCTGCATTCAAACTCCATAGTTTTTTCTTCTTTGTGGATAGCATTTTCCATCATGAGGCCTTTGAAGATGTCTTAGATCCTTGTATTGCTGAGAAGGGTTAAGTCTATCAATATTAGTCATCGCACAACAGGGCTGTTACTGTGTATAATGTTCTCCTGATTCTGCTCATTTCACTCAGCATCAGACCATACAAGTCTTTCCAGGTTTTTCTGAAGTCAGCCTTTTCATCATTTCTTATAGCATAATAGTATTCCATTACATTCATATACCACAACTTGTTCAGCCATTCCCCAATTGATGGGCATCCTCTCAATTTCCAATTCTTTGCCACCGCAAAAAGAGCTGCTATAAATATTTTTGTACATGTGGGTCCTTTTCCTATTTGTATGATCTCTCTGGGATACAGCCCTAAAAGTGCTAAGCAATGATTATTAAAAGCCAGTATAATATCATAATGAATAAGGCCATATTGACCTCATTATTTTTTGTTTGTTTTTTTTTTTTTGGTAAGGTAACTAACTAACTGAACTGAAAACTCTGGAAAATAATGTAGATCTAACATACTCAGATTTCAACAAAATATTTCAGAAAGACTCATATAATGCTAAGCTTATGGATAAGAAGGAGAGATAAAGGCAAGATAATACAACAGCCAAGTGAATGTGAGCCTGTTTGAAAGGCTGGACCCAAAGAGTCATCTTTAATGGGTCTACAACAACTTGAATGATAGTTATCTAAGGGAGGAACCATCCTTGGTTCTTTGCTGTTCAGCTTTATTTTTCAGTCATTTGATTAAATTTTGCTTGAATTTGATGAATTTTGATGAAATTTGTCAAATTTGCAGTTGACATAAAGCTTTGAAGCACATTGTGTAACAGAAAATATATCCAAAAGAATTTCAATAGCCTAGAACATAGTTGGCCCACTTATAGCCAGGAGATGTTCTTGGTGGTGGAGATGTTCTAGAAAAAAAAGATGTGGGAGTTTTTGGTGGATTGCAAACCCATTATGAGTCATGCGTATGTTATGGCAGCCAAAAAAACTCATGCCATACCATGCAAGTATCCAAAACAAGGGATGTAATAGTTCTATTATATTTTGCCCTGATCAGGCCAAACTGTTCATTTCTGGGCACCCCATTTTAGAGAAAACATGAATGACCAGGACTATATCTAAGAGAGGGTGAGCTGGTTGAAAGGAGGATTAGAGAACATTCCATAGGAAGATGGCTCGAATGAAAGAACTCTGCATAATTTAGCCTGGAGAAGAGAGGATGTGGGGGAAGGGTGGAGGAGTGAGGCATGATACTTATCTTCAGATATTTGAAGAGCTGTCATGTGGGGACTGGACTTTTTCCCACAGAGACCCAGAAAATCCAACTAGGAGCCATGAGTAGAAGTTGTAGAGAGACAGATTAAGGCTTGATGAAAGAAAAAAAAAAACTTCCTAGTAATTAGATTTATCCAAAAATGGAATGGAATGCCTTGCAATCCATCTTCACTAAAGGCAAAGACTAGATGGTCACTTGTAGAATCTGTGGAAAGAATTATTTTTTTAATTAATTAATTTATTTTTAGTTTTCAACATTCACTTCCACAAGATTTTGAGTTCCAAATTTTCTCCCCATCTCTTCCCTCCCCCACTCCAACATGGCATGAATTTTGAATGCCCCTTCCCCTCATCTGCCCTCCCTTCTATCACCCGCCCCTTCTCTTATCCCCTTCCCCTTCTATTTTCCTGTGGGGCAGGATAGATTTCTATACCCCATTGCCTGTATATCTTATTTCCCAGTTGCATGTAAAAACAATTTTTTACATTTGTTTTTAAAACTTTGGGTTCCAAATTCTCTCCCTTCCTCCCTCCCCACCCACCCTCATTGAAAAGGCAAGCAACTGATACAGGTTATACATGTGTAGTCATGCAAAACACTTCCATAGTAGTCGTGTTGTGAAAAACTATTTCCCTTCATCCTATCCCAACCCCCACTTATTCTATTCTCTTCTTTGACCCTGTCCCTCTTCACAAGTGTTTGCTTCTGATTACCTCCTCTCCCAATCTGCCCTCCCTTCTATCATCTTATCCACTTCCCACCTGTTTTCCTGTAGGGTAAGATAGATTTCCATATCCAAATGAGTGTGTATGTTATTCTCTCTTTAGGCCAAATCGATGAGAGTGAGATTCACTCATTCCCCCTCACCTTCCCCCACTTCTCCTCCACTGTAAAAGCTTTTTCTTGTCTGTTTTATGTGAGATAAATTACCGTATTCTACCTCTCCCTTTCTCCTTCTCCCAGTATAATCCTCTCACCCCTTAATTTTATTTTTTAGATATCACCCCTTCATCTTCAACTCACCCCGTGCGCTTTATCTATCTATATCTCTGTCTATATACATATATTTTCCCTCCAACTACCCTAATACTGAGAAAGGTCTCATGAGTTACAAATATCATCTTGTGGAAAGAATTCTTGTTGAGTTATTAGATGGATTAGGTGGTTTCTGAAGTCTCTTCCGCTTGAGATCTTGTGGTTCTGTGATCTTACAGTGAGGGAAAGAGAAGGACTGATTGATAGATGGGGAGAAGCAGCATCACTTAGTGAGCAGGAAGACCTGTGTTGAGTCTTGCCCCAGATCCTTACTAGCCATGTGACCCTGGATTAATTAATTAACCTCTTTGGATATCCATTTCCTCTGTAAATGAGTGGGTTGACCTCTAAGATATCTTCCATCTAACAATCAATGATTCTATGACTTAGTTATCCCATGGAGCAAGATCCAGGAAGAGGTATGAGGGGGTGGGAACAAGGGCATGACAGGAAGAGTTAACTTGGACAAAGGGGAGAGCCACCTCATCCTTGGAGAAAGAGATGTTAAAGTGTGGAGGAAGGGACAGAGAGAGAGTCATGAGAGCTTCAGTTTTCTCAATGAAACAGGCAAATTAAACTGCTCGGAGATGGATAGGGCATAAAACTGAGGATTAAGGAATAGGTTGGAACAGGGTGATAAGTGTGATAGCAGGGCAGTCAGGATTGCCATATAGGAATGGAGAACCCAACATAACTTTTTTTTTTTAAGGTAGTTGGGGTTAAGTGACTTGCCCAGGGTCACACAGCTAGTGTCAGGTGTTTGGTCTGCGGTCGGATTTGAACTCAGGTCCTTCTGATTTCAGGGCCAGTGTTCTATCCACTGTGCCATCTAGCTGCCCCTCCAACATAACTTAGAAATCGGGTATTTGTAATGGATTCAATCAGTATCGTTTCATGACTTTCTCTAACAGCTGTCAGTCATATCGTACTTGCTAATTAGGGTCCTAGGGAGCCTACATTAATAGGCTAATTAAGGAGTGATATATATATATATATTTTTTTTTGTATACTCTTTTCTTTCCTTAGATATTGATTGAAGATGCTGACTATTATGGTGGAGATAAACTAGTTGAAAAGGTGGAGACCCTCAAACTTGCTTATCACCTACAAGGAGCCTGGACAGAGTATGGGAAAGCAATATTGAATCGTCATAAAACTATAGATGCAGACTTACCCTCACAACAAGGTTTCATGGAAGAAATTAATGAGAAGGCTGCAAGACTGTGTAGAGAATATGAATTAAGGGTGAATGGAGGAGAAAATGGTAAATTATACAATGAAAATTGTGTCATTATGTAGTATAATGCATCCTAACATTGGGAGGCCATAAAGAACTGCTTTTTTTTTTTTTAAAACATCAAGTTTGCATAGAAAATCAATATTGAGCCAATGCAGTCTTCTAAATAAATTTATTATTTCGTTTCTTAATCCACAGCAATTTAGAAGCAATACAGTAATGTTGGGGGTGTGGAAGGGACAGGGAAGGAGTGCTTCTAGAGGTAATCAGACATAAGAACTCAAAAAAATTGGCAATCTGTAGGTACTAACAGCCCTGCAGACCTTATTAAGCCTTGAGGATATAATTGTATAAGTCACAGACCAATGACTGATGTTTATAATGATGTTTCTGAGTTGTTCAAAAGTGGTTAAATTATATTCATTTTATTGTTTTAAAAAGCCAACTAAGCATGTAATACATCTTAGATTTCCAGTCAAAATGGTTAGTGTTTTGGAAAATTCACTTATGTGGAATGGCGTATTTCCCAATGAGGATGGATAAGTAGAATGTGTCAGGAAATCAGAGGAACTTTTTTTTTTTTAGAGCATTTTTTTTTTAAATTTTTAACATGTGTTTTTAAAACTTTGGGTTACAAATTTTCTCGCTTCCTCCCTCCCCACCCACCCTCATTGAAAAGGCAAGCATCTCGATACAGGTTATAGATGTGCAGTCATGAAAAACACTTCCATAGTAGTCCTGTTGTGAAAAACTAAGTATATTTCCCTTCATCCTATCCTACCCCCCCATTTATTCTATTCTCTCTTTTGACCCTGTCCCTCCTTAGAAGTGTTTGCTTTTGATTATCCCCTCCCCCAATCTGCCCTCCCCTCTATCAACCCCCTCTTCTCTTGTCCCCTTCTCCCCTTATTTTCCTGTAGGGTAAGATAGATTTCCATACCCCATTGTGTATGTTATTCCTTCCTTAAGCCAAATCCTATGAGAGTAAGATTCACTCATTCCCTCTCACTTTTCCCCATTTCCCCTCCACTGTAAAAGCCTTTTCTTGTCTGTTTCATGTGAGATAATTTACCCCATTCTACTTCTCCCTTTCTCCTTCTCCCAGTATAATCCTCTATCACCCCTTAATTTTATTTTCCAGATATCACCCCTTCATCTTCAACTCACCCTGTGCCCTCTATCTATCTATCTATCTATCTATCTATCTATACATACATATAATTTTTTCCCTCCCACTACCCTAATACTGAGAAAGGACTCATGAGTTACAAATAGCATCTTTCGCTGCAGGAATGTAAACAGTTCAACCTTAATAAGTCTCTTATGATTTCTCTTTCCTGTTTACCTCTTCCATGTTTCACTTGAGTCTTGCATTTGAAAGTCAGATTTTATATTCAGCTCTGGTCTTTTCCATATTGCTTGAAAGTCCCCTATTTCATTGAAGGACCATTTTTTACCCTGAAGGATTATACTCAGTTTTGCTGGGTAGGTGATTCTTGGTTGTAGTCCTATCTCCTTTGCCCTCCAGAATATCATACTCCATGCCCTCCAGATCCTTAATATAGAAGCTGGAACTGTTTTCTTTTCAAAAAATTGTTTTTATTTGAAAGAACCTGTAAATGCACAATTTCAGAAATATTAACAAAAACATTGCCAACTTTATATTATAGGAATTATGAGTACTCTATATTTAAATATAGTACTGATGGTAGGTAGTGATGCAGTGGATAGGGTGCTGGGCCTGGAGTCAGGAAGACTCATCTTCCTGAGTTCAAATCTGGCCTCAGACACTTACTAGTTATATAATCCTGGGCAAGTCACTTAACCCTGTTTGCCTCAGTTTCCTCATCAGTAAAATGAGGAGGAGAAGGAAATGGTAAACTACTCTA